GGGCAATGGAATCTTCTCAGATATTTTTTCTATTAGAAAAATATTCAAAAATAATAAAAATAACCAAATTAGGGTCGGTTAATCTCTTTCCCTTCACCCCATTTAACTTATTGGTAAAACACCTGTCCTAATATTGGAAGTATGTAAGAACTAACATCATTATTAACTAATTAATTTATTAATGAATATATTTGTACCAAGCCACTAACATTACTTATTTTATTGGAGTTCAATTATTTTTAGTTTTAAATCATACATAGTAGACGATGTCGAAATATTATTTTGAGTTAAACAACCTAGACATAACATGAAAATAAGAGCCAAACCCATGAACTATATCCCTTCATCATGAATTATTTTGAGTTACACATTAAATAACAATTGAAATAGTGATTTTGGAACATTAATCTTGAGAATTATCTTATGGAAAAAAAATCTTCTGAATTATCATTTTAAATGCTATGTGTCTTTGTGATATTAATAATTTACCTTATTAATATTCTTATATGCTATGTTCTATATGGTACTTAAAATCTTACGATTTTACGATTCGATTATGCGATTTTGATTTTACCCCAGTTTTTTATTTTAGGTAAAATCCCGATTTTAACTGCTTTGCCCATCGCAGCCTCTCCAAATCTTCCTATTCTACTCGCCGGGTCATCTCCTCCACTACAAAATATCTCCTCATGTACTCAAAGTTCTCACTGAAACCTAATATCTACAACTTAGGCGCTGAGGGAGCAACCGATGGATTGTAGCGACCCCCACTATTTTGATAGCTAATCAAGAAGAGCGCGTTTGTTTAGTTGTATGGTGATTCACTTAATTAACAATTTTTATTCCGTTGACAGCCTCCTCTCCGCAATTGTATTGTGTTCACGAAGATCTGAAGGCGCAAGTGCAACAGGTCCAGGGGTAAACAATATGTATAAAGCGTTGGCCAAATTGAATTGAGTCATTCTACTTGGAATATGAAGATTTTTGCTTAATTGCTTTGGTTCGTGATGCAACTATGTTATGTTTGAAGGTAGACCAACGCAAACAACAACACAACTCCAGGGCTATTCTGCACATTAGGTAGTTGGGGCATTAATTGATAATTATTTGGGATTATTCCTACAAGTACATAATTTGGAACGTGCCTTTATATTGCATTGATTAATAGTTGTTTGAGATTTTTCAAATGAGTGATTTGACATTTTAAACTCTCTTATTTTTGATAATGGAGTCTTCGAAGTGGAATATGAAGATTTTGGATTAAGCTTGATTTCGTAACGCCTTTATGGGTGTTTATTCTCTAAAATGCAGCTGTCTTCAAAAGTGCCCGTTGCAAATGGCAAGTCAGGATACAACGATGGTACCGGTACACGTTTATATCATTAGTAGGTAGCAGATTGTGTCCATTCTACTATATCATTTATTTAAATACTTAGTTGTTCTTTTCAACTAAAAATTATGCTTAAATGCTGTGATTGGCCTCAGAAATGTATGTCTTTGCATTAACTGTTAATGATTGTGAGTTTTGGTTTAATGGTGAAAAGTCCATTTATTTAGAAGTCTAAATTGGGCAAACCTATTGGACAATAGGAATGCCATACATTAGTGTCGTGGGAGGTTTGTTTGATGTCTCAGGGTGTTAGATTTTTTAGAAGGTTGTTTGTTGTGGCAGAGAGTCCCTAAAGCTAGGGAGGTATTCCTATGTGGGCTTTTTCTTTGTTTGACTTTTTCTCGCCTTTTTTCTTATCTCTTTTTCTATTTTTGGTTTTTGTGTGCTACCTTCAGTTGCTAGGTTTTCATTTGTGAGCCATCTATACTTTTCTTATTCAGTGCCTAAAAATCATATATACTCGATTGCATAGTAGTTACTAATAGATACATTTATACCAATAGAGAGATTTTAATTTTTATCAGTTGTTAGTTTTAATATTTTCTTACATTGGTTGTTTATGTAGTTTTCTTTGTAATATTTCTCATTATACAACTAACTACTATGGTTACGTAGTTGTATAAGTGGGGGTTGGACATGATAGTTCTTAGAAGCATCAATACTTGAAAGTTATTATAATGACCAAATTCTAAAGTTATGGTTTGCCTTCAACTTGCTTGAAGCATTTCAATTATGCATCAATTGTTCTCTCTGTGTAGTTAACTCTCAGACAAATCGAAAATCTTGCTGATATGTGCTTGATTGTAGTTAAATTTAGGGTTCTACTGCATTGTTGCTTTACTCTTTTTTCGTGGTTGAGTCTGCTTCAAAAAATTTAGTTTGATTTTAGAAAATTTTGCTTCTGCAGTCCTGTCTTGCCACCAACGCGTTCAATAGATGGAGACGGCAGAGGCGAAGGCTATTTTTGTGTTGTTGTTGCTGGTTTAGGGATCGGTTTGTGAAGAAGAGGGAGAAGAGAGGGGGGAAGGAAAATGCAGGAGAGAGGGATAACTCTTTTCTCCGACAAAAATGGAGTGAAGAAAGGAATTATGATCAGTAAGAATATGGTTATCTTACATAACGGTCTCTATTCTGTTTGAATTGAGCTTGGGAGGCAGTGATAAGGACGAGCTGCAACCAATTCATAGTGAGAAGAGAGCTATGAACTGTGATCATGTCTTATTTCAAGTTAGAAGGTAGTTTCAGTATAAGGATTATTTAATTTGACAAGTTGTTTCGTCCATGATTCTTGGTAGTTTCAGTGCCATTCTAGCCAATGTTTAGTCTGTAATTTTTGAGAATTGATGTGCGAGTAATGACTTTCACTTAGCTTCAACTATTATGTGTATATTTATTGGCATGTGATAGAATTCTCTTTTCCTTTTCTTTGAATTCATTTTCATACTGTAATTGTATTATTTGTACATAGGCAAATCATGCTCGAGATGACAACTCGCTGATATGGCTGGTGCAAGGAATGAAGTCATCATTAGAATTCAGACCGACAACGGGGAGGGATGCCCAGGACTAATTCAATGATGATTGATGATGGTATAATAAAAACTGCAGTATGCATCAGCACCAATTTCTAGGCCTAAGTAAAGGTATTCAACCCAAAACTCTGCTTAGCGCTAAAAATTGCCCTCACCCAACCTTGATCCTGTTTGACCCACTTCTGAAGAGTCAAGATATATGACTAATCCTCCCCGTTCGTATTTTCTTATTGACTCTTTCTGACCCTTTAGGTTGGGGCGCGTCGGGAAGAATTGGATTAGTGGGTCGGTCTTAATCAAGTGGAATCCCAATCCCTTCACTCTCACTTGCTTTCTCTCCCATTCCACAAGTGGGTAACATACAGTAATCCGGCCAACGGGCCGGGTAATAAGCTAGTATATATATATAATCCAATTTAAAATCAACTAGCATTCAACCCGGCCGTTGGCCGGTTGACTATCATTTAATTATTTTTTATAATGAAAGAATAGTTATTTTGTGGCCGTACATGACAATTATACTAATTAATATATTATTATATTTAAACTATTTTTTATATATTTTTCAAAAGATACTTATGATATTTCATGTGTCACCCAAGTATAAGTTTATGACATAAACAATTTTAGGTTTATGTGAGATTAACTTGTATGCATTAGGTAATTTCTCAGTTAAAACCTTAATTTCCATAACGTTTGATGTTTGAGCTCAGGTTCAAATAAGAAATTTTAATGTTTAAACTAACAGTCAATTACAATACTTTAATTATTTATAATAATGCATTATACACTATGAATTTAAGGTGCATATGAAATGTTAACTTTGGCCAATTAATTCTTCAAGTAAAATTTAATATTCTAATATCATCATGACCGTTGATATACAATTGATATAAATTTTATTTTTTAGATCTTAACAAAAATAGTACTAAGTGTAGTTTAACCGGCCAAACAAAATACAATTGCATATAATTTTGAAAACGACAATATTTTTAAAACCATATCGTACTGGTGGTTCGACTGGAAAAGCCTCCTATCGAAGGCTAAATCAATATGCAAATTTTAGTTGTACAAAACGGTTGAACCGCCGATAAATCACTACTTAACTTCTAAACATAAAATATCCTATCACTAATTTTTTCTCATACAACCTCAAATATGAATAATACTTATTTTTAGCTAATTAATCCTTCATTTATAGGAGGGACAGTTGGACAAACGTATTTACACAAAAGCATGGAAAAAAGTGGGCAGTTGCAAGTGGGACAAAAAAAATAACAGGTAAAGGTATAAAGGGAAAGAAAAGGATTTTTCATTTTTTCATATATTCTCTAATTGAGTTTAATATAAACAAATGCTCGAAACTTAGAGAGGTTTGTTGTTATCGGTTGTCATTGCAATTGTTGAAAGAGCACTTCTGGGGTAAACAAAGTGAAGAAACACTTCAGAATAAGATAGTTGTGTAATCATGAACGATTTCTCGTAGTGGTATCTCAACATCCTCATAATTTACATGATGAATGTATTAGAGCATGAACACATTCCAAAACTTGTGTTTCCCACATTTGAGCTACCTTTGATGAATTTCTGGTTATGCCACGGTATGTTATGATTAAGCTTTTCCATGAATGAAACTTCAGAGGACGGACAAACCTTTGTAGGACTCGGTCTTGTGTAGTGGGATTCTTCTTTCTCTGGAACTGCTGGCCTCTCCCCCTGTTGCAGGTTTTGTTTGTCCAGAAACCCTTCCCTTGGTTTGCCTGATCAAGTAGTCCATTTCTGGAAGAGATGTGCTCTTAGATTTAAACTGAAAACTTGCCCCTCAGATGAGATGGCTGTGTTATTTTGAAGGTGAAGCCTGACAAAATTGCTTGCTGGCATATAGAGCATGCTTATCATACCTTCATTTGAATAACACAAACCTTCATTCTTAAGGAAAGCATTTCTCTGCCTCCTTTTACAAGCTTGCCCATTTCTCCAGCCATCTCTGCGGAAAGTTATACCCTTTGAACGACAAGAGGCAAAAGCCTGGTATCCTTTTCCGGAAAGCTAAGGATTTTTTATTTTTTATGGCAGAGTTAGTTGGTCTTCAAAGAATAGAATCTAACAATTGATGAATTGAATTACAATGAATTCTAACGTGGCCGAAGGGTTCTTCCAAGAACCTAAAGTAGTACAAGAAAGAAATCAATGTAAAGGCAGAAAACTAACAAACCCACAGAGTAAAGAAAGACCCAATTAAGTAGGGTTAGTCCTGTTCTATCTATTTTCGCAGGCAGGGGCCTTGAAATCCTTAATCCTGACGAACACAAAAGAGGAAGGAGCCACAGTAACCGGAGACGAAGCTGGGACGTACTTAGGAGGGAGGTTTGGAATGTCACCACAGTCAGTGAGCTTCAATGGAGTTCCGTTGAGGAGGACCACATCGCTCTGAATGTTCCCTCCTTGGGGTGTCAAATGATACTCTTCTCTGTCCTCTGTCAGAGAGCTCGATTCCGATTTTTCGTTGTAGATGTTCAGATCATTGGTAACCCAGACATTGAAGGTTGTGGAGTTGTCCATGTTGATGAGAAGCACCGTAACCCCAGTCTGCACAAGAGATAGACATTTTCCTGTCAGGATCTGATGATCACCACTAGAAACAAATCCTGAAAGTGCATGATTCACTACCACCTGGTTCTTAGTACAATGGGTGTAAGATCTCAGGTATGGAGATCCGTCGTGGGTAGTTGCCAATACTCCGGTCCCCATCAATCGATGCCACAGAAGTGCACTGATTCCCAAAACCCCCACACAAGAACAGTGAGCCCAAAAAGAATTCCCAGAAATGTATGCATTTGGAATAAGTGGATCGATTGAATTGAATCAGTTGGATGATACCCGTAGTAATCAGGGTTCGGGGTGAATGTGTTGCTGTTGAGGAGGCCATAGTTTCCGCCAACAAGGGATTGCCTGCAGTAGGCCTTGTGGCTGAAAGTGGAGGCCATTCCAAGCTGATCCAGGTACCAGAATCCGTTGGCAAAGGTGTGGGAGACATCTCTGCCGCCGCTGTTGAATGCGCCGCCGGATTCGCCGACCCAGGCAGCTGCCCCTGTGCCGGACCGGTCCACTACATCCTGAACGTCCTTGAATGTCTGTGCTACTTCATCTAGGAAGTATGGGTCCTGAACCTTGTGTATCAGGTTTGGATCAACACCTAAAAAGAAGAATGGTGCAAAGTGGATAAGAAGAGGTTCTAGACGTGTTTAGAGGTGATTATTTGGTCCTAATAGCTTGGTACAGGACGATCATCAATCCTCTAATAACGAGTATATTCAAGATATATAGTAGCAAAAGCTCGATTCATAAGTTTTAGAGAAATGCATACAATTTATGAACATGCGCATGCTTGTGGCTGGACTTACCTGCACCGAGATTGTAGATATGGTGGGTGACACCATCAACAACATTGGGCCCAACAGCCTCAAGGTACTTCTTGAACCATTCTTCATCAAAGAAGCCCGCTGGCCCTAACACTTTGGGCCTGGAATTGGGATCTGGGTACAATTCATTCACAGCTTTCCTCACTTGGATAGTATCTCTCGCGTACTGCTCTGCTTCAACCCTAGCAGATACCCCTGCACCACACAGCTCATTCCCTGCACAAAATGACGATTAAAAAACGTTACCATCTAATTTTAAGTACGTAGTAATCAAGTCTTAGAAATCGATCTCGACTTCTCGTATCCCCCTTTTGTACGTTTTCGTGAAATAAACACGTACCGAATTCGTAGGAATCGATCTTGTATCCCATTTGAGCAGTGTAGTTCATAAAATCACGAGCGTTATGTGGGTTCCAATCTCCAACCCAAAGGATCGTGGTTGGCTCCTTATTCTTCTTGCCGAAGAGCGCGTTCAACCCGAAAATGACTTTGGTACTGCAATACCCAGAATCAAATGAATAAAGAAACACAAAGGTACGTAATTTGCAGAGAAGGGGAATTTTTTTTTACTTGGTTTCACTGAAGAACTTGTTGAGCTGGTCCCATCTTTTCATGGACAGAGACCCTCTGCTGAACCCAAACAGTCCATCCTTCCGCTTCTTAAATCTGGGGAACTTCTTGATTGCATGCCCAACTTGGTACACCACCTGATCTTCCAACGAACCTCCGACTCTGATCCTCAACGGATCAAAAGCTGCAACGTAAACCCGTGTTGTTTTTAATATTTCCTCTGTGAGGCATATCATCAAACAGCTTCGAATGATATCCCAATTTGGAAGTAAAGTGACCTAAGGTCACAACTTTCACGAACCCAGAACTTACCCTTGACTGCTTTTGCCAGATTGGGGTTGTTTAGATCCTAAAAGTGGTCAACTCAAAAAAACCCATTAATCATTGCGGACAAAATCGACTAAAGATATGACCCAAGAAGAGAATAAAAAGGAAATCCATAACCATATATGTGTATACCAGATTGAGAATGCCGGTCATCCCCCATGGACACTGTCCATAATCGCACTTGTCCTTTGGCCACCAGTCCAGAGTGGCGCAAATGAAGTCGCTGTCCGTATTAGCTATGGTGGTCACTGATTTCACCGTGACTGTGATGCTACTTGTATCAGCATGAGACAAGAGAGCAAAACTAAAGAGCAATATCGAAAAGAAAAGAATAGCTTTGACAGCCACCATTTTTTTTTTTTTTTTGGATACTCGGAAAAGAATAAACAAACAGCTACATATGTTAAGCATTCCAGGGGGAGTAATGAGTGTATATATATTATCGTATCCCATTCTTTCCCCAGATAATCTAAATTTTGGTTGAAGTGGGAGGTTGTTATTTGGATAAACGAAATCAGTTTCATAATTTCCGGAACAGATAAATCAGATTTAGCGGATAGATTTGATACATAAGCATAATCCACTTGTTATCTACCGACGCAGAGCGTATAGTTTGTTATCCACAGAGGCACAACGTATAGTTAAAATTTTATTCGTGCTTATTACTATAGCTGTGCACACGTGGATGGGTAATCCGCGACTTGACACCCACCCACCTGCAAGTAATCCAAATCGCAGTGGATGGGTGATTACGGATTAATGTGAGTGAATTCTGGATCAATAAATCTTCTACCCGTATTTATCGGGTGGGTTGCGGGTCAACCGAATGACCACACCCCATATTTACATGCAAAATAGTTGATTCTTATTTATATTAAGGTTAAATACAATATAATAGTCAAACTTTTCATTTTAAACAATATAATAACCAAACCTTTTCGAAAACAATTTAATAGCCAAATCAGCTCGTTCGCTCCGCTCACCACCGATAGAAGCCATTGATGTTGCAGTCTGTAGGTGCGGAGGAGAGAATGAAAGAGTCTAGAAGGCGACCGAGAGGGGAACACCACCCTTTTGTTCATTTTAGGAAATTAACTAATAAATTTAAATTAAAAAAATGAAAAATAAATTATTTGACGTGTACAGTTACTGACCACGTCAAAGTCAACTAACGGTTGATCGGATGAAAAGTTGACAGCTTGGCTATTAAATTTTTTCGAAAAGGTTTGGCTATTATATTGTTTAAAAAAATGAAAGGTTTGACTATTATATTGTATTTACCTTATACTAATGAATGATTATCGTATTTCTTAACCGACACTGCCACTGCCCTTTGACTTCTAAAGGCGGGAAATAAAAGTCGTTTGCTTGTAGAATTTTGATTAGAGATTTTGCACCAAAATTCCATGTAGGTTGGATTATTGTCCAAATGGGGCTCATAAATGTGAAATTTTTTGTTTGGCACAAAATGCGTGGATCCCAGTAGGGATGGCAACCCTAACCGGAAATCTGGGTGCCCGCCCGAAACCGCACCAGTCAAACCAGGGATAAACCGAGTTGACGGGGTGACGGGTCGGGGACGGGCAAACCCGAACAGTTGACGGAGCGGTGATGGATTCATCACTATCCGCCCCGTAACCGCCCGATAACTATCCGTCTCTTCCGATTTCCGAATTCCAATCACCATTCTCAGCCTCCGTCGAAGAGGCAGCCCACTCCTCCCTGCAGCGGGTATGGGAAAAGTCAGGCGATTGTACCTCTCCTCGATTCTCCCACTCCTCGACTCAGATCTATAATGCCAAAGTGACGGAGGCCATGGAATCATGAACTGACGGCGGCAGCGGCGATGGAAGAAGGGGATCTGTGGATCACGATCAGCAACCGCTGCTCTGATCCTTGCCTCTTTCTGTCTTCTTCTCTCTTCTACACAACGATGGTTGGTTGTGCAGCCAAGAATGGGAGCTTCGCGACGGTGGACTGGAGGAATGGCGAAGTCCCCGCGGGGTTTCGGGTAAACCCGTTATCCGAGGTCGGGCGGGTGGCGGTGTGATTTTTGCCCCCGAGGGTGCGGTTGTGGGTGGTTTCTCCGACCCGGAGAGGTCTCGCGGGCGGGGAGCGGATGCTGGGAAACCGTCCCTGATCCGCCCCGTTGCCAACCCTAGATCCCACCGATTATAAAATATCACCTCAAGAGCTAGAATTTTGAGAGGTGTTAAAAAATTCGTGGAGCCCACTAATTATGAAATGATCAAATTATCCTTAACAAAAAAATAAAATACTTTATTAATGATAAGAAGAATAAAAAGGTAAACTCATCATTTAACCTATAAATCCACACTATAAGAAAATTAAGCTAGTGACTAAATATTGAGACACATTTCGTATATGTCTCTTAAGATATAGTATATATGACTGATATACTATTTGTCTCTATTTTTTTATGTGTCTCTATTTTTTTATATACGACATATGTATAATTTGTCTCCATAAATATTAGGGTTAATACCTGAGTTTAGCCCGAATTATAGACAAACTTTCTACTTTGGCTCGTGGTATCGGAAATTGCTATTCTGGCCTAAACTATGTAGCATACTTCCTTATTTTGGCCCGAAGGCGGGTTTGACCGTGAAATTAGACGGTCAACCGAGTTGACCGATAGTCAAGGTCCACCTCACTTGTCACGTCAGCTATCAGGGAATAATTTTTTTTTTAATTTCTGAATTTTGTTTACTTTCTAATAATAAAAAATGATAAACAAAAAAATAATTAAAGAAGCAAAAAAATTAACTAAAAGAGGTCCCCAAATTATCCCAGCCCCTCTTTTAATTAATTTTTAGGGTGTCTTTAATTAATTTATTTTTTTATTATTTTTATTATTAGAAAGCAAAAAAATCCAGAAATTCAAAAAAATATTAATTTTTTATTCCCTAATAGCTGACGTGGCAAGTGAGGTGGACCTTGACTAACGGTCAACCGAGTTGACCGTCTAATTTGACGGTCAAACCCGCCTCTGGGCAAAATAAGGAAGTATCCTACATAATTTAGGCCAGAATAGCAATTTCCGATACCACAGGCCAAAGTAGAAAGTTTGTCTATAGTTCGGGCCAAACTAAGATATTAACTCTAAATATTAAGTCATACCATTAAAAATACGTTATAGATGACAGATATAAAATATGTCTCTATAAATATGAGTATTTGTTTCTAGTAATGTTATTATTTAAGTTTCTAATTTTCCCTTTTAGCAAATTACTAAGAACAACCTTCTATATTTATTTATCCATAAAACATTTCAAATTGGGAGCTGTTGAAACTGTCGGGTTGTTGAAAAATTAAAATAGTTTAAAATTGCAAAATGAAGTGGGAAGCCCTTAGAAAAACATAATAACTCCCGAAGGAGGCGTATCCTTGCTTTTTTGATGGGGCGGTGCGTGTAGGTGAGCGGTCAGCAATTGGGATGGTGTTGTGTGATGAGTCTGGGGGGTTATTACGGCGAGAGGCGAGCAGTTCCAAGGGGTTCAAGATCCGCTATGGTGGAATTGGTGGCGTTACGGGAGTCTATTAGGTGGTGTTGCGGAGCAGGTTTTCCATCAATTAATCTGGCAGGTGACGCGAAAGGTATCATCGACAAAGTCAGAGCAGGGGTGGTGAATGATGCGCTTGGCGGAGCTCTTTTGGAGGAGGTCAAGCATTTGCTCCGTGATCAGCCAGGATTTTCTGTGCACTTTGTAGGCAGGCAGAACAATAGGGTAGCCCATTTAGTGGCTAGAAAAGCCCTCTCTTTGTCCCTGCCCATTCTGAGCAGTTTTGATTTTTGCGCTTGGCTCCATTCGGAGTTCTGAACGTTGTATCTTTGCTATTCTTGGTAATACAAGCTATCTTTGGTAAAAAAAAAAAAAAGGAGGCGTATCCTTCTTTCCATCTACTAGTACCGGATCCGGCCCGTTGTCCAGAGAAAACGATCTATAATAATGAATATAATATATGCACTTACTTACATGTAATGCGCCTTTTATACCTTGGTTATACAGGTTACATATTGAAAAGTGATTGAACTCTACATAATTTGCTTAAAATATAGTAACATGATAAATAGGATATAAGCAATAAACATAATTATTCAATCAAAAAGAGGATAAATCTAACTAATTCTCTTTTGTTGCATAATCTGTACCATGTTATTTGTGGCGTAGAGTCCACACAAATAACATCGCCATCGATGGACAAATTGGTTAGGATGGCGATGTCCTTAAGTGTGATGATGTACTCGCCTTCACGAAAATTGAAGCAATGTGTTTCCTTTCGCCATCTCCTCTACCAATGTTGTGATGAGTTGGCGGTCGATCTTTATTCCATTAAAGTGCCTAATCGGATCCAATCTTGTCATTTTAAGAAAGGGCAAGATGACGTCGTTCCAATCAAGCACATTCGTCGTACCCCCTATAGCGGACTATATGATATGCATCCTAGAGAAGAATTTAACTTTCACTATAAGTTGATGATTTATACATATATAAATCTATTACAACAAACAATATTAATTAAATCAAGGTTGTTCCGAGAAAAATACATTATCTAATAAACATTAATTTTAAGCTAACTAAAATCATTTTCGAAATTTAAGTAAAATAATTTTGTACACATACACATAAAATCAAATATATTATTTTGTACTTCGTATTGATTGTTTTCAATAGTTTAAAGCAATACAAGTACACTCGTAAGACTCTTAGGAAATGTATACATCTCCTTAGAAACATAGTCTGTTTGACAGAAAAATGGGGGATCCGAGGATCGCTTAGAACCCGATTTTCCCAGGCCATGGGAGGATCATGATGATCGCTTAAGACCTCATTTCCTTAGACATGCATTTCTTTATAAAGAGTTTAAATAAGTGTTGTATTGTATTGATTTAAATTATTGAAAGTAATCAATACGATTAACAATTAAGTAATTTATTGTACAAACAAATAAATTACATTAACAAAATAAAAATTACAAATGATGATAAATAATATGTACCTTGTGGTCGTTCCAAACATCTCTTGAACGATGATTGTATTGATCGTATAAAATAGTTGGATCAATCGGTCCTTGATCAACATAATATCGTTGATTCTATATATCAACATCCGACCCAACCTACGATAGCATAACAACAATATAAATCAATTAGTATATAAATTAAATTAACCATTATAACAACAACAAAAATTGGGTAAAATGAGTATGTACCGCTTGATAATCATTATAGTAAATACCCTCTTCTTGGATAAAATCGGCCATTTTTTTAGAATCCGGACAGAGATTCGACGGGTTTTTGGTGAAAAGCAAAGAAAAAGTTTTTTTGA